CTGTGAGATCTTCATTGGGGCCTATTTAATTTATTTCTGCTTTCTCCATTATTTTATAACTTTGCAACAAAATATTTCTATTGCAGAAATGAACATTTGGCCAGAAGTTGAGTGTTTCAGCTGTTTCTTGTCACCTTTATCAAAAGAGGGTTATTTTAGTCTTTAGGTAAATTCTTCAGAGCTCCCTATATCAATGGGCTTTAAAATTTCTTGAGTTGTTTTCAATATGTAAAAATTAGATTTCTTTTTAAAAATATACAAGGTGGAAATTTTGGTGAAGAGTTTTATTTGTCTTTTTTTTCTGGTTGGAAAGACATTGATTCTCATTTCAATAAACTCTTTATGAGACGCTCTTGATTAGGTGAGAGCTATGGATTTTAACCTAACTGTCAGGATTTAAAAAGTGGGTTGTTAGACCACAATACGCACAGGGTTCCCTTAACACTGGGGAATCCTGACCTAAACAGGTCTACACTGAGTTGTTCCAAAGCATGGGCTGTGGCAATCCGAGCCCCTTGTGGGATCAGCTGAAACTGACCTGCAAGGCTCAGGACATGGGGTCAAGTGCTGACTGCTCTTAGAGCAAGAACGGGAGCTGGTGGGAGGCAGAGGAAGGGCTGATGCGGCTCCAGCAGCTGTCTAGAGCAGAGGGCTGCAAGTGGAGGCCCTTCTCCTCTTCTCTCCGCCTTCTCTTTGATGGGGGGCATTGCGTTCTCCTCCACAGGAAGGACCGCAGGAGGCTTTCCACCCTCCCCAGGGAGCTAAGGCTGCTGGCTGAGAGCACCTGCCCTCTGGGAGCTGAGGAGATGATCTCCTTTGCCTGTGGCTGAGGTCAGGGGAAGAGTGCACGGAACAGAGGGCGGCCTTCGGGGTGGGATTTGTAAATGAGTGATTTTATTATTAGAGCCAATATTAGCACAAAGCAATTTATGCCACAGATTACATTTAGATCGTGCTGCATGTTAATTGTTTTTATTAGTGATTATCATGAGAATTGCTGTTGCTTGTTGTGTTTTTATGACCTCGTAGGCAATGTGATAAGCACTTAAATGGCATCCTTGAGTGTTGTCCATGAAGTGCCTGATCAGACTGGAAAACGTCTACAGACGTACAGAAGATGTGTTTGGTAGGGAGCAGCTGATGGCATGCTATAAATATGATAATATTGATAAATAAGACAGCCATGACCACCCCAAAACTGGAAAAAATGGTAGAATTAGGATACAAGACTGTTTTGCCTGCCTGGAACCATGGGCCATCACTAATAAGATTTTATCTCATACATGTCTGACTGTAAGGATATTTTATTAGTTTCAGAAACAGCTGCATATGGCAATTAAGGGGACATAGCTTAGCAGCAAGGAACACAGAGAGAACAGATCTGGGGGATTTCTTGATTACAAGTTATTATGTGGTATCGGTGTCTGCCAAAATATCTACTGTGATTTTTGGTTGGATTGACAAAGATAGATTGCTTGAGAGAAGGAGTTGATCAAGCTATTCTGTAGACTTTTCTTTTATGTACATACATATTATAAGGAGGTTAGTCAGGGTTTAGAGGACACTCTTCTGATTTGCTGAGAGCTCAATATCAAGGTAAACTGGGAGCTGGTATAGAAACCACGGCTGCTATTGGCAGGGTGATCAGAGAAGGAAGGACTTGGGACCCTCACCCTCAGAACTGTGAAGAGGTGAAGACAGAACCAACATTCTCCCTCTCCTTCTTTTTTAAAGATTTATTTATTTGTTTGAAAGTCAGAGTTACACAGAGAGAGAAGAGGCAGAGAGAGAGAGGTCTTCCATCTGCTGGTTCACTCCCCAATTGACCGCAATGGCCAGAGCTGCACCGATCTGAAGCCAGGAGCCAGGAGCTTCTTCCGGTTCTCCCACGCAGGTGCAGGGACCCAAGGACTTGGGCCATCTTCTACTGCTTTCCCAGGACATAGCAGAGAGCTGGATTGGAAGTGGAGCAGCTGGGTCTCGAACCAGCGCGGACCCCCAACATTCTCTTTAAAGCCACTGAGAAAAAAGGTAGGCCCAGGAGGTGGCAGTCACAGAAAGATCCTCTTAAACTCAGATTAAGGAATGATACAAGAGAAATTCACAAAGTTCTTGGAGAAATAATTAGAAAATGGTTATTTTTGTGTAAAATATGTTTGAAATCCATGCATAGCTTTTTCAAAATATGTATTTTCTCCAAGCTTTATGAAGAGCTATTTGTATGCATGGGTTTCACAATTTTTCGCACCAAAGTTAATATATCTTTTAATTTCACTTATGAAGTCCCCTCACATTTTCTAAAATTTGAAACAATCTTCAAAATAATGAGTTGTTCTAGTAGAGCTTTCGAAGGGTTTTAGTTCTAACATTCTTTAAGTCTATGAATTTAAGCCTGTTCCTTTAAATCACAGTATCTGAGTAATGGTCGGTAGATGGCGGTAGGATACCATGGATTTTGCCAGCAGCACCTGGACTTGCCACTCTTCAGTTTGCTGGAAGTAGATGCTTTTTTTTCTAATCATTATTTGAAGCGGTTTCCTAATCTTTTGTTCAGAGAGAAATCTCACATCTGAAAAACAGGAACTAATACTTCCTAATTAAATGGAGAAGAATCATTAGCAAATACTTTTATTTTTCCCCAATTTCTACCACAAGGGTTCATTCTTGCCTTCTAACAATTTCTAGTAGGAATGGTGTGTGTGTGTGTGTGTGTGTGTGTGTGTGTGAATGAATGAAAGGTCTGGTTTGCTTTTAAATAATTCTACAAATTAATGTGTACTAATGTGAAAATTTTAAAATTTAAGCATTGAAGCAATTCACGAAAAAGTATTTTCTTCTTTATACAAGTATGGTTTGTACTTAATATTTATGATTTTATAATCTTCATAAATGCTCTGAACTGACACTATGTCTCTATTATTTTTTAAAAAATAAATTTTGTCCAAGAATGCTCAGTTTGGAAGGTTTCCATCTCAATGAGATTTTCCCCTCCTTGGATTCCTTTGGGAGTTTTGTAATGAAGAGAAGGGCCAATTATTTTAGGTGTGCTAAATATTCTTTAGAAATGGATACGTGTCCCAGGCACGTGGGAAATTAGGTGTGTTGTGCCTCACTCTGGAAAGATGTAGATAATGTCACGTGCTCCTCCCCTCTTTTTTCCTTTGAAAGCGCATAATATGCCATTCTTGGCCACGGGGTCCCGGTGTGTCTGTTGCAGCATCTCCTTTCCCACATCTGCCTCTGAGCAGTGGGTTCACACCATCTGCTACGTACACACCCTGGGCTGCTTCTGTAGCTAAAAGTGGTGCCCATCGAGCAGTTACTCATGAAAGCACACTGGGGCTCCCATCTCCCTCTTTAGTTAGCGCTCAAAGGGACTTCCCAGGAGACAAACGGGTTTAATTTGCTAACATTTAGGGACTCTCTGGAACAGTGAAGACTAATTCCCGAGGACAGAAAGGTCCCTGACAGAGACTCAGCCAGACATTGTCACAGAGTCTTCCGGATAAATTCTAAGCAAGGCATTTATTACTGCACAGGCCTCAGCCAGTTCACTCACACATGCATTTTTCGCTCGTTCTCCCACCTGCAGCCCTCCTCATCTTTATTTTAATTGATAGGAAATCTGAGCAGAGTGGTCCTCCCTGTGGGATCCATGGGGGCAGGGAACCCAGCACCCAGCACAGGAAGGCTGAGAGACCTTGGCCAGGTCCCTGTTTCTTCTGAGTCTCTCTCTCACCATCAACACGTTTGCTCTCCTGTTCATGGAAAGGTGGCAGCGATTTCGGAAATCAGTGTCTGCAGAGTTTTGTTATGGTTTCCTTAACAGAAGCTGTTAAGCACACAGAAGGTAACATTGGTTAATATCTAGAATTCTCAAAGCATTTCTTCTTTGGGTAATAAGATAATCATAATTAATGATCATCTATGCATTTTCCCTATGAAGCCATTATATTATCCTTTTAAAGGAGACAATCAGAAGGGAATAAATGCTCTTTATTTTAGCAAATAATGCTAATTTTTTCTATGATTTACCTACAGGTATAGATTTAAAGTTTTTTGCACCAAAATCACAAATTTTAATTCCATTTTCCACAAACTTTTTGAAGTGTCCTCATGCATGCATATGTGTTTCTCCTATATATGTAAATATAACATATTAACAATAGGCTGCATACTATTCTTGCTTTATTGTTTCTGCATGCTTTAAAGATTTGAAGTGAAATTTAAGCTTTTTAATCCAAGCATTACATTTTAATATGCAAATTTTCACCAATCACTGCAAAAGGTATTTTTTTGCTTGTTTTTGAACTTCAGTATTTATTACTTAAATGGAAGGTTGAAGTAATACATATTTTTTAAAAATACAGTTTTACAGTTTTAGAGACTTGTTTCTCTAAAGAGGAACTGAAGAACCTCGTGCAGTTCTAGTTTAGATTTCTAAAACACTGAGTTGAAACACTTAAAGAGAAGCCCCATGCTTGTTTGCTTAAGCGTATCCTGATATGAATGGTTTTGTCAGTCAGCAAATATTCTTTGCTCACAAAATAAAATTTTTGAGGAATATCATGATGGAAGCATTTCACACACACAATTTGTCAGTTTGAACTCAGAAAAGATCATGAAATTTGTTTACTTATTTGTTTGTCTTTTTCTCTGAAAGATAGTTAATTACTGAGGCACTGAGAATGTTTTATATTCCCGGTTTGCCATTGTGCCTTGCAAACCTGAGACTAATGAGACCAAGTTTTCACCCCAACTCTGAACTTGCTGACTTATCTGATTTAAAATCTGAGCATCTGAACACTGGCGAGTTGTTTTAAATAATGATTTCTTTCTGTTGTTGCTACTGCTTCGTGAAGAGTGATTTAAAAAATACAACAAAGACAATGTCTTGAATCTGATGTAGGAAAAAAAGTGTGATGGACCTAGCAGACATCTATGGCATGTATATTTATTTAACTGCTTGCTATAATGCGTATTATTAATGACGACAATCATGAACTTGAATGCATTGTTTATTTTGTAAACACACATAATGGAGCTTTCAAAAAAAGAGAGATAGGCTGCCCCTTGCAAGGATGGCCATCTGCAGTAGAAGCAAGGACTCAGGGACCCTTTGTGACTTGGGTTCCTGACCCAGTCCATTTCACTATTTGTATTCTGGGAACATTTTGCTAAGTCCATCTGTAATTTCTCTGCAGGATCATTGAAAACTAACACACGTCTAGTTCAAAAGTACAGGGTGGATTAGATCTGAAAATCTGTATGTGGACTTGGACATCACCAGCACCTGTAAGAGTAAATATACATTAAATGCTATTAGTTTGCAGTTACAAAATGCAGAATGGATTCCAGGGTTCACGAGTGCTGCAGGAACGGCCTTTAACCAGAGACACCGAGATGAGATGTGGTGACTGTGTGCCTGCAGCCCACTCTGCTGTGGCTGAGGAGAAGAAGTGGAATGGGCAGAGACTCTTCTCCACATGAGACCTAAGGCATCCCAGTTTCTTTCAGTACTCTTCATTTTAATTTTATATTTTTATGCCAACTCATAAAACCTTGACTGATCATTTTGGCCTTCATTCTGACCCCTCCTTGCTTTACCCCAGTGTCTGCAATATTGGGTTTTAGTGAAAATAGAAGAGGTAGAATGAAAGGCAGCTCGATCAGAGGACAAGTCTATTCACACATTACCTCCGAATTTATCTGTGTGTTACCTGAACCCTGGGCCATCAGGCCTGCCTGGAATTTATCTCTCCATCTGATTGAGAGCCCAAGTCCCAGAATCCCAGGAAAATATTCGCCTGAAAGGAGAACATGTTTGTTTTTGTAAATTTTACAAACGCTGGCCGTAGGGATTCTTAAAAGGGCATCTTACACAGCGCAGGGACTCTAAATAGTACATCTGCTTTAAATATTGTTGGGTGTCTCGGGCCTTTGTGGAGAGGGTTTGATGCTGTCTTTTGTTGTAGGACAACTGGTGTATTCTGTGATGCAGGGGAGTTGCCAGTTCAAAGGATACAGCCTTCCTTAGGGTTTCTTTTCTTCCTTTCTTTTCTTTGCCCCTCCCCCATCTCCACATTGTGGGTTTTGCTGGGGGTGGGGGGGTGCTTTAGCTTAAAACATTCGCAGGGAACTCCCAGTCTTTCTTCTTTCAAGAAAAGACAAACCCTTCATGATAATAATTGCAAAAATCTGCAGTAAGATTTGTAGATTGAAGAGCGTGAAAATATATTGGCTAATATCACAACCTTTTGTCCTGAATGAGGTAAATAACTCTAAACTTTGTGTTGGTGGACTGGAAAGTATTTACAGATATTAATTACTGGCAAGCTCATGCAAAGTATCCTGTATTAATTCTCTTCCGGTTTTGCAATTTTCAGGAATAATTTCAGCCACCTACATACACGATCTTCCCATAATATTCTTAATGGTATTAAATACCTACCCCTCCACTCAGTTTAAATAGCATTTTAATAAGCATCCTCTATTCAGAAAATTTTAAAGGCTTTTATTCATTTAATCTGAACATTAGAATGCAGAAAAATCAGAAACCCAGGTACCAATGCAGACCTTCGCTGCTTCTTAGACAATGATTTCGGCTAGGTGACTGTGTGTTTTGTTGAGAAAAGGAGTGGATAGAATATTGACAGTTTCCTATCAATAGCTGGACCCTGGAGGCCTGGCTGTTTGGGCCCACGCTGATTGACTACTCCTTAATAGACATATAATTGTTGACAAATACCTTCCAATAGACTGTGGCAGCTCTGGGGAAGCAAAGAGGATTTCAGGCTGAGGGGGACCAGAGTTGAGCCATTTGGGAGAGGCAGTGCCTTACAGAAGAAAAGACCTTTTGCTCATAATACGAACCTTCCTAGAGAAAAGGGATCAAGGCGGCTCCATGGCCAATCCTGGGGAGCGCTGCTGATAGGGAGAAACTCAAAACACTCATTGTTCCATGTGTCATGGAGTGTGCTGGGGAGGGACGGACTCAGGCTCTGATCCATGCAGCTTGCTGTCAAATCTATTGCTTTGCCATTGTTAAGAAAATCTGTATTTTATGTTTGATATATATGTGTGTATATATACATATTTGTATATTATATATATTTCTATATATATTTTATATATACATATATTTAGACAGAAAGAGGAGTCTGGGTATGAGATTCAATATCTAGAGTTTTTTGTTTATTCATGGCATTGTTAAACCTTTCAACCTGATGTTTGCAGGAACACAGTGTGCTGTTCGGATAAATTTCAAAGAGCCTTGAGCAGTAATAAGAATGCAGAAGAAAATCTGAATGTGGAAATCAGCCCCATTTAGTACTAAAATATCGGCGGAGCCTGGAGCTGTCCCCATGAAGCGAGTGCAGCCAAGAGCATTCGAAACCTGGATCTCAGGCTCAGTGCTCCTTAGGCCAAGGCTGCCGCCCCAGATCAATGCCTGGCTGAGAATTAGCTCTGGAAAGTTTGCCTCCCGGGATGCTTTCCCACTGTCCATTCAGTTTCCGTAAACCTCCCTCCTTGGGGGTTTATTCTCAACCACAGGAGGCCACGATTACTTTCAGTGCCTGACAGGAGCCTGCCAACAATGGGACAAGAGGATGTTATCTAGATCTCAAGCTGCTATAGGCTAATGAAATAAAAGAAAATGTAAACAAAGTTAAAAATGCAACCCTGGTCTCACCATAGGCAAGTGGAACAAGGCCCAGTGCGGTCAGCGAAGCCGGTTCCCTACTACAGTCCAGGGAATGCATCAAGGTGACACAGTGGGCAGCCACCTGACATCCTGCGAGACACAGGACAGCTTGTGCCCCAAAGACCTTGAGTCCTGCCTTTGATTCTTATTGATCAAATACGCAGATTAAATCCCGTATCACACAGCCAGGCAAAACCTAAGCTCTCTGTGTCAACTTGGAGGAATCCGGCAAAGCCCCGTCTGGATCCTCTTTTTATGCATGAAGGCGAGGCTGAGTGCACATGTATCTCAGAAGGCGCACAAAGTGGGCAAGCAGATATGTAGGTCTGATAGCTCCGAGGCTCCCTGGCAGAAGGATGAGCCCGATAAGAATGTTCTACTTGTTACCTGTTGTCAAATTCAAACCCATAGTTAGGATTCATTCGGGGCGGGGAGGAGGGAGGATTATTTTTGAAGTTGCTTCTTTGCAATCTGCAAGCATTCCTAAACAGGCAAGCTTCTGCAAACAGCTGCCTCAAATGTTGTGTGTGTGTGTGTGTGTGTGTGTGTGTGTCCATTAATTCAGAATTACTCCAATTACAAGCTTCTGATGCTCTGAAACCCTCTCTCTAACCCAAAAGAGATGGAGAGCCCTCGGACCATCCAATCAGATCATTTTCCCTGCCGCCTGCAGCAGATGTAAGCAATTTAGTTTTTTATTTCTGCATATTCAGTGTGAGCGGAGCTGTTGGGGACCTTTCACCCCGGAGCCTGCAGGATTCTAACCCTATCAAATTAAAGCATTTTGCTCACTTATTCCCAAACGCTTTGCTGGTGCTAAGCAGACATCCCGCTGCATAGCAATGGCGGGCGTTCGTGTCCACTCATAGCCCCAGCCTAATCAGAGATTATTAAGGAATATATACAGTGCTTTAATTTGATGAGATTGGTTATAGGTAGTGCAGTTAAAGGTCACACTCCTGCGTGTATCTCCCTCCGTCTCTGTAATATTTTCTTCTCGCTTGACAATCCTGAGCTGCAAACAATAGGCCAAGGCGACACATTTATTTTTGACATGCTGTGATGGGCTCAATAAGGACAAAGATGAATTATTTAAAGATTGCATAAACAAACATCCCGGGCCAGGTTTTGGTTTCATCTTTCCCTTTGTTGCTCAGCGGATGCTGTTGCCTCGAATGAACACGTTAGAGAAATGCGCCTCCTTTGGACAGGAACACATTGAGACGCAGGGCCCAGATGGCTGGGTCGGCTCCCTCACTCCTGTTGCTGGCTGCGCAGGCCGGGCTGGCGGCTCCCAGCTCCCAGGGAGAGGGGCCTCCGGAGGACTGCTTTGCTCTTCTGACCCGGGAAACTTCTCCACCTGCTGTGAGCTAATTGAGCCAGCCTGCCTGCACCAATGGGAGCGGCGGGGCCCCTGGGGGCCGGCAGCTGTGGATCGCAGCTCCTGCTCCACGCTCGCTGGGGCCGAGCCTGGCGCTGGGAGGCGGCCCCGTGCTTCCCTGGCGGGGCCGGAGACTCACCTGGCGCGCTCTGCTCATTTCAGGGTGGATTTTCCTGCCGCGTTTTCTTCCTCTGCCCAAGGAGGCCCTTCGTGCAGCGCGGCCTCGGGAACCCCGCGCCCGCGGAGAGCCCGGCGGTTGCGGCGCCCCGGCGGTTTCCCCAGCCGCGGTTATTCTAATGCACGCACCAGGGAGGCGCAGGCCCAGGGGGAGGCAGAGGCAGGGACGAGGGCAGCTTCTAATCTCCTGTCAAACTTAATGGGTGCTGTGGATGTGTCCATGTAATGGACCAACTGCGGGCCGATTCACCTAGAAATTTACATGAAAATTGCTTTAAGCAGCTGTATGTAAAAATTCAAGCCACACCGTGTCACTGTACCGCACAGGTCACGGCGCAGCCCCGGGTATTGTAGCCGAAAACAATCTGTTTTCATTCACGGGACGAGGGGCAGGGGGAGGGACACGGGCGGGCTGGTCAGGACAGCGGCTGCGTTTAGGGAGAGCCAGGGGTGCAGGCGCCCGGCAGCCTCCTCCCTCTGACCCCTTGGCTCCAGACTTCCCGCTTCCCCCTTCCCCCAGAACCTTTAATATTTTAAAGGAAAATTATGCCTGGCTTGTTGTTCCAGTCCCACACTACGTTACTACTAAATTATTTAAAAGGCTACACCCCTGAAAGTGAAGAATACTGGGTTCGGGCCTCCTGAAGAAATTGTTGCTGTGTGTTCCTAGCGAAGGCCTGGACATTTCACAAAACCCTCCCTCCGTATGTTGTTTTCTTTTTAATTTTCATACTCCGGAACTGTGATGATTTGGAGGTAATAGAGAATAACTCCTAGGAGGGAGACAATGATGAAGAAGCACGGGAGTTTGGGAGGATTTCCTGCTGGGAGCCTCTCCCAGGAAGAGTCATCGCTTCCACCCTTGCGTAGCAGGTGTCCTGCAGGCTTTTACTGAGTGAACACTGGGGTGCACGATGTGGGACTCGTGTGGCCACGGGGGCAAGGAAAGCAAAAGTGGGGTACATGGCTCTCTGGGTCTGGCTCAAATCTCCAGGTGGCTTGCTCCCCAAGGAAAGAGCTGACAGCCTGCGGGGAGGGGGTGTCTGTGGTCCTTCCTCGGAGGCCCTCACTGCAGAGGGCACACTGTGTGCCCTGGCCTGGTAGAGGCAGCAGCTCTGGAGACAAGAGATCAGAGAGCCTGTCTGATTCCCACCCGTGAGGATGCAGGGTTGCTGCCTCCTGGAAGGAGCCTTGCTTTCTGCCTGGTGGCAGGGCCTGTGGGCCCAGAGGTGAGCTCCCCAGGTTCCTAAAGAGGAATCCCATGAGCGGAAAATGCCAAAAGCAACTTCTTAGATTCAGTGAGTGCTGTGTACATTTGCATGTGCATGCATGTATCTGCAGGTATCAAAACTGCTCCTCACTGCTTTGTGTTCTGAAATGCTTCTATAAAAAGGCAGTTAATATGATGAGTCTCATTTCCTGTAGTTGTGTGGCTAAGTGAATAACGTTATTTAGAACGGTTTGTCAGAGCCGGGATCTGGGTAGTGCTGAGATTGTCTCAGGATTGGCTCTGGGTCAAGTCAAGGGCAGCCTCCTCCAAGGAACCCACCTGTCCCCTTACCCGCTTGATCACAACATGTCAACCCTCCCCCAGCCCCCTTGTGTCTGTCACTTCTCATTTTAAAGCATCCCTCAGGTAGAGTCTCGGTTTTTCTTTGCTTAGCTCAAAATTAAATTTCCCTTGATATAGTGCAAACCAAAAATAACCAGAGGAGAAAGAGAAAAAGCTCACTAACAGTTTTAAAAATTGTTTGTGTTTCAGCCTTATTTTAAGAGCATGACTCTGCCATGAGTGGTGCTTCAAATCCTTGCCTGTGTGTAGATAGTCAGGGTACCACTGGGACAAGGCAGTCCTCTTCCTCTGAGTGCAAGCCACAGGTCAACTGGGACAATTCTCTTTCGGCAAATAGCTGAAGTGTTAGCTTTGCATACACTTTTCTTATGTGATAGGATCTTACCATATAAATCTATTTGGAAATCCAGAATTTAAAGTGTGAAAATATTTGATGATTTTATTCCTATAAATATTATAGCATAAGGAATAATGTTTTTAGTTGAAAAATCAGCAGTTGTTGGTAGACAGGTGTTGGAAGGCTGAGGAAAAATGGATCTGGCTTTGCAAGTTGTTGAGCTTATTACACAAATTCAGTAGGAATGAAGGCTGCGATGATTTTTCTGTTGGACATCCGCTGCAGTTTTATTCCAAAGCGCTTTTTGAGAATGGGGAGATTCCTTTCAAACTGTGCTGAGACTGATGTCAGGATAGTAAACCTCATAAAGGAGTTTGTTACTTGGCTTCAGTAGCTGCTGCAGTGCCATGAAGGTTGCCATTTCTCCTGATTATTTTGCACTTGAGTTTGATGTAGTCAAACCCCTTCCACTGTCATGGGCATCACTGATTATGTCGTGTTACCACGCATTAGCTGGTTATTAGGAGAAACTGGAGAGAAGTTTATTGAAATGAAATGTAGATGCATAGTAAAGAAAGGTTGTTTCTAAAGATTTCCAGTATATACATGGGCATTCGAGTTATTCCAGGATGGTTTCTTGTCCATGTAGAATGTATAGTGCATCTAGTTGCAAGCATGCTAACTTACTTCCTTGGACCTTGCAAGGAAAAATGTTCAAATACCACACCTGCTTGGGATTTGAACATTGTAAGATGCTTCAGTTTAATGCAACATGACAGGATTAATAACCACCATCTTTCTGTTGTGAAATATTTTCCTAAAGAATCATTCTTTCCTTTATGAATCATATTCCTTTTGAATTGTCTTTGCATGTAATTCTGAGAAAGGCCACAAGGTGGGAGTGGCGCTAGTGATGGCAGTTCAGGTCTCTGGCGTGGACTAAGCCTGCCTAGAATTCCTGTGATTGCTGTCCATGAATAGAGCTTCCCAGAAACCGAGCTGCTTTTTAATGTCCAAGAAGTAGAGCACTACTCCATCAATCACACACTACCAGTGTTTGCATTTGGAGCTAAAGGAAAATACAGATTAAGAAGGAGAAAAATAAAGAAAGCCATTTAGGTGTGTGCAATTGCCCATCTAAATTACTCAGATTAAGGTATCTTAGTTACAAATCCTTTAGCCTTGTGGGGCTTATGGTTGGGTCAGGGACAACACTGAACCGCTACTCAAGCACACATTTCTTACACTGATAATAAAAAACATTTCTCTTGTAAGCATCTGCTGAGAAAAGAAAAAATGATTTATATTCTCAGTCATAAAAAGATCTTTCATCCCGAATTCCAAAAAATCTTACATGTGGTAAAATAAATATTAAATAATCATGTTTATAAATTTTAATTTTTCTAAATAATTATGAGGTCAATAAAGAAATTATAAATACAATTATGTTAAAAGTGAAACTGGAGCACTAACCGTAAAAGATATTGGATGCTTCCAAAACCGTAGTAAAGAGCAAATTCATAGCATTATTAAATAAGAAAAAATAAAAGGAAATGGATTGGTTATTCAACTCAAGAAAGTAGAAAACACTACCGGTATAAAGAAGCATTATAGGTAAAGGGTAGAATTGATAAATAAATGAGTACATAAGTCTATAACAATATTTTTACTAGGAAAAAAATTTGAGATGTGCCTGTGAATTCTTCTCAAGATAATGAAATGAATTACATAAACAAAATTATAACTGAGAAACAGCATAACAACCCATGTGAAGGGAATATAAATAACAAGACCTTTTAACTTACATACTAAGAATAGGAATACTCAGTATAGTTTTCTTTTTCAAAAATATAAAAAATGGGGCTAGCACTGTGGCAAAGCAGTAAAGCCGTTGCCTGCAGTGCCAGCATCCCATATGGGTGCGGGTTCGAGTCCTGGCTGCTCCACTTCCTATCCAGCTCCCCGCTATGGCCTGGGAAAGCAGTGGAGAATGGCCCAAGTTCCTGGGCCCCTGCACCTGCATGGGAAACCTAGAAGAAGCTCCAGGCTCCTGGTTTTGGATTGGTGAAGCTCCAGCCATTGTGGCCATCTGGAGAATGAGCCAGTGGATGGAAGACCTTGCTCTCTGTCTCTCTCTGCCTCTGCCTCTCTGTAACTCTGCCTTTCAAATAAATAAATAAAATATTTAAAAAATATAAAAGACTACTAATTCCAGAAAAACAAGTAACCTGAGTGTGCTAATATCATAAAAGCAAAAGTACATCTCTTTCACTAAAAGCTTAGAAGGTATATTGAACCAAACAATATTCAAGAGAATAAAATGTAGGGCTAATCCCAGGGATGCATGAGTCCAATCAATTCAGAATACAATCGTTTCCAAAAACTGTGAATGCACATCTTAAATAACTACCATAAACATATTTATCACTAACCCATTCCATGTACTCATATGAGAATCAGAAATAAGACATTGCTATTAATAATGTTCTATACATAATACAAAGAGTATAGTAAAAATTGAAAAGTCAAAGATTCAGTAATTCAAAGTAATACCTAGAAAAGATATTAACATTAATGAGAGATATCACTGAGATGGCTGAAAGCCAAAAGATAAATGTGAAATCCTCGTATGTTTTCTATATATAAGCAATAAATGTTTAGAAATATAGCATAATTCAGAAAAGGGAATCATTTGAGGAGAACATGAAGGCTTGAATAAATGAAGAGATACTTTCAAAAGCAAACATGGAAGGAAAGAAGGTGGTATTTTCAAATAATAAAATAGGAATAACCCAATACAGAAAGAAAAAAGCAATTAAGAGGACTTATCCTGGTATATATTATTAAAAAATAAACACTAGAAGTTGGGGCCGGCGCTGTGGTGTAGAGGATAAAGCCGCCGCCTGCAGTGCAGCATCCCATGTGGGCACCGGTTTGTATCCTGGCTGCTCCACTTCCAATCCAGCTCTCTGCTATGGCCTGGGAAAGCAATAGAAGATGGCCCAACTCCTTGGACCCCTGGACCCTCATGGGAGACCCCAAAAAAGCTCCTGGCTCCTAGCTTCGGATTGGTGCAGCTCTAGCTGTTGCTGCCAATTGGGGAGTGAACCAGTGGATGGAAGACCTCTCTCTTTCTCTCTTCCTCTCCTCTCTCTGTGCAACTCTGACTTTCAAATAAATAATAAAAAACTAGAAGTAATTTAGAAAGACACATTTATATAAGCCTTGATAAG